TAAATGGTTTGGACAGTGCATAAGCACAACCAACAATGGTACATCCTGCTACCAATATTCTAAAGAAAGATTTTGTTTTTAGTAGCTATTGCAAACAGGCCACAGCCATAAATGTTCAACCGGCTTTCATTGAGTTCGACTTGATTACACAAGTTAACAGTACAAACATTTTCATGATCCTTGACAGTTTAAAAATATCGTTCATTGCTGAGATGGTCAATGTTGAAACTAATCTTACATTATATGCCATGAAAATTTGGTTAGATATTCTACTAAATAACCATTTTTTTCTACCCAAACTTCTGGGGTTTCTGAAAGGTCAGTTCTGAAAAACTAAGATACCCTAATGTTCCTAAAATATTCGCTTCAGAAATTCTGTCCATCATCTTAGAAAACTAAGTTAGTGGAACAAGTTTTTCCATAATTTAGTTTTTTCTAATTATTAAGGCTGTCCTTGGATGTGTGACTGGATATTCATGAGTCTCATATGCTCTGAATCGTACGCTTTATCTAACCTAGTAATGGTCGCTGGAACTCGTTGAATCCGTTGGCTGTAAATGAGAGAACATCCTCAGAGCTTTTTAGAAACCCCTTAAAAACTGGATTGGAACCTCAACTTGTTGTTCTAGACCGCAACCAACTCAGAAACTAATTAAAAATCTAAGAGTTCTCTAGAGACTCTTTGAAGATTGCACGAACCAAAATCTTCTGGGTTAAGTGTAACCTCCATCCTGTATCATTCCAGAATGAAGTACAGAAAATTTTCTGTTTGATGAATTTGTTTTTCTTTATTCCTACTCATTCGTCACCTTGTGATGGATAGACAGACATTTTCTTTTTTTTTATGATCCATGACTTAATGTTAATGTAATAAACAAGATTAAGTGCGACCATTTCCACAGATAAACTAGATAATTACTTTCTGAATGAGATGTTTCCGAGCTCTCTACGAAGTGTACGCGGTGCAAAAGATTGCTTTTCTCTTGTATCAGTTAGTGAGAAAAATCGGGTATTTGAGAAAAAATAAATCTCAAGCACAGCTCCGTGCGACTTCTGTTATTAAACGATAAGCGAGCTCTACGGTTTCGAAGATGTGTCATTTCATAGATTATAACAAATTGTATTTTTTGTATCGAACTTGTGTTTATATAATAGAGTTTTATTTTTAAGTACGAATTTCTCAGCATTGAAAGGATATCTTTTTAATCTGGAAATGTCAGATCGTGAAAACGTTTGTACTTTACCTATGATTAAGCACGCAATAGTTTTTTCTGTTTTTCAAAAGACGGTTTGTATTTTCGCAACAACGGACTGTCAAATTTTCTGAAATCCGTAGTTTTGTAGAGTAAACATTTCTCTACAAGATGGCATAAGTAAATATTGTTTAAGTTGTTTGGTTTCTTTCAAAAACGTTTTTGATAGAATGACAGTGAAGGTGTACTGAAGTATCAAAAAGTAACACAGAGAATAGTTCGTCTTACTTGTACGCTGTATTTGGAATTAACGGCTTGTTTTCGCATGGTATAGTTGTACAATTATCCGAACCAATTATCACGGAAACTTCAGTAGCCCCTGCGAAAGAATGCGACTTTTAATATGGCTGTTTTCACTTCACACATGATTAAACAAAAGTGCGGCATATAGAAGAAAATAGATCAAAACCTACCAGTGTGTTCATTTAATATTATACCCAAATAATCTTGGTTTGCTTCTTCATACGTTCGAGCTTTATTCGTTGGATATAACTCGTTATTATTTTGATCTTTAAAATTTAAGAATATCAGATAACTGAGAATAAACGATAGTCTTCGTATTCGCTGTTTATCTCGAGTAACTTGCATTCCTTAAAGCTCATTCCGTTTTTTGGAAGATATACCCCCAAATGTCTCTAAAAAGAATTATTGAATGTTTAGCGCAGAGAGGGTGACAAAAAGCATTGAGATGCTCCGAAATATACAACTATCTTAATTAACTTTCATACACTGGACGCGGTCTTTCAATGCAGTCAACTTGTGCCCTTTCTCCTAGCTTAGGAAAAGGTCTTTTTAACTCTAAGGCATAAACAAAGACTATATTAGCTTCTTCTATGAGATAATTAATCTTCCTTACCTTATTTAATTATTTTAATAAGCATTTTTATAAGCAGAGTATTTCTCATCGTAGGGTAAACAATCGAATCGAAATGGCGTGATTTTAAATGAGTTTAAGCAATGATCTGCTGTTGCTGTTCGAAAAGAATGGCTTTACCAAGAGCGACTAGTCGGACTCGACGGAAACAACAAATACAGAAAACACTATCCATTATGGGAGAACCCATAGTGAATTATTTAAAGAAATCACATTGGAATGTTTCATAAATACCTTGCCTCACATAAATTTCATACTTGATAATCGGTCCATGATCATCACCAAATAAAGTTTTGTCAATAGTAATGCACAGTTGTGTTTGTGATGCATTGCTCAATGTGATGAGCGATGAATTATATTGTTCGCGCGGTGGTGGGGGTGCTAAACAAAGGAACAGATACCACTGTTCGCTCTCTGAGTCATGGAATGGATCTTTGAAATAACTTGCCATCTTGTAAAGTTTCGTTTGTTATTTCTTCGGTTGTCACATGATCGGAGGATGTTTTTGTCACCATTCTAATCGTATACCTAAACTCACGAACACAAAATACTGACCGTATACGTGTTGATTACAATATACTGACGAACGAACTTCCACATCAAAGCCAAATGGAGGTCGAAAAGGTGACTTACGTTGTGTATGGGGTAATCTTGGTTGTGTTGTTGTGAGATGTATAGTTGTGGCAGGTGTAGCTGTGAGAGGTGTAGTTGTGAGAGGTGTAATCGTGAGATGTGTATGTTTTATTAATAACTATTGATGTGTTATTAACATACAATATGAACGATTCGAAGTATGCTGGCTTAATAACTGTCCAGTTCAGATATATGTAACGTTTCTCATATATGATGTCAATGAAATTTACTTTTGGAGGAACTGAAATAAATTAAAAAAAACATTTTCGCCTCCCCGCATCCAATCGGTAAATGACGCTGCCCATCGCGGCACTTTTTCAAGAAATGTGTCATTTTTTTAATTTATTTTTTTCATGGAAAAATCAATTTAAATCGATTATTTTTTTGAAAAAAATCTATTTAAATTTAGTTTTTTAAAAATCTTTTAGAACATTTCTTTAAATTAACTTTTAGAAAGATTCATTTAAATTCTTCTTCCTTAACTTTTTGTGTGAAAAATCTTTTTAAATTTACTTTTATTTCAATAAATCTGGTTTTAGTTTTTGAGTTTTTGATATTTAAGTCCATTTTATCTTTGATTTGGAGAAAAAAGAAATTCAAGTTAACTTTTAATAAGAACCAAAATCAGATTCATTGAGAAAGAAATGGATTTAAATAGATCTTTCGCACGAAACGTTACGCAGCCGGAATTCAAATGAATTTTTATAAAAAAAGCCTCAAAAGATTAATTCAAATAGGTTTTTCCCAAAAGAAAAAATCGATCTAAAATAATTTTACGAGTGAAAAAAATAATAAATCAGTTTTTAACGTTTACCATTTTTCATATGAAAAAACTCCATTTAAATTTGTTTTACTGTGAAACATAATATTAAATCAAAACAAACGGCACATTTCTTCAAAAAGTGCCGCAGTACTGATTGTACAGTTCCGACTGTTTCTTGCAAGCATGTCTCCTCAAGAAAAGTCCCCTTAGTCACAAGCGAGCCCTTTCCACAGGATTGATCTAATAGTTGACAGATCACAATAACATTATCGAAATTTCCATCTGGCTTCACCAATGACATTTGTGTCATCTGATTTTGTGGGTGATGTGCGGTTAACATCAGGCTTTTCGCCACGTCAAGATCTACATTAATTAGGAGAAATCGTATCCACTTCCTGTGCACTTTCTACGCGCATCCTATAGGACTCTAATATTTATGATTCGTTTCGGACGATAACATTTTTCCAACAATCATATTTTCCTGTTGAGATCCTTCTCGAACGATGGCAGAATTCAAGCATATCCTATGACTTTTGGGTATCCGCGGTCTGACTGCTATTTAACAGGATTTTTGTAAACCGACAGTAAGAGAAATCCTAGTAAGATCTATGTATGACATGTGTAGGACCCCATTCGAGAAGTGTGAATGATACAGTTTTACCTACAAAACAGCTACAAAAAAATGTTACGCAGACTTACAATCTTGCCACATTCTGTGAAACATCAACTACAATATCGCACTATATTTCAACTCCATGCTTACTCACGTATTCTAATTTCAGTTTCTGACGAATTTCTTGCTCCGTACTCATTGTTCTTCACCGTAACCACAACGCACTTGTAAATGCATCCACGGATAACACCCACTGATATATTTCTGGAACAATTCGAGCCATTAGATGTAACATCCGCACATACTACCGCGGATATATCTGAACGGCAAACAGCATCCATCCTACTAAAATCACTTAAAGGCAACAAACCGATCGATATTTCTTCCCCATCGTAAGGATTTTCAACACTAAAAGCAACGGGCTCCAAATCTAAAGCAAATATCCAAACCTTCGCAAACGAAAACCCCCAAACAGCCACGATATCCCCAGCACGAAGCTAAATCTCTCACCTATTTTGATGTAGAGCTGAACGGTGGCGCTCGTGAAGTTGTCTTTTATCGTAGTTGCATTACATGAATAATTACCTCCGGCAATCATCGGTTGAAAGCTGATTTCACAGTTTGCACTCTTACGATCTTGCAAGCATGTCCCGTTAAGAAAAGTCCCGTTAGTCACAACCNAGCATGTCCCGTTAAGAAAAGTCCCGTTAGTCACAACCGAGCCGTTTCCACACGATTGATCTAATAGTTGACAGATCACAATAACATTATCGAAGTTTCCATCTGGCTTCACCAATGACATTTGTGACATCTGATCTTGTGGGTGATGTGCGGTTAACGTCAGGTTTTTCGCCACGTCAAGAACTACATTAATTAGGAGAGCGCGTCAGATAGCATAAAGTGAGCATATGTTCAATTCACCTGTGCGTATGTTAAACGATGTTATGTTATCGTCATATCCAGTCTTCATCGTGGTGATCTTACAGGAGTAAGCACATCCATAATCACTCGAAAATGTAAAGTTCGTTGCACAATTTTCGCCCGTTTGGTTGAGCGGCAAACAGCGTTCGCTGTCGTTTCGACACTCTATCAGAATTTTCTCAAAATCGCTTTGTGGTGTCACCACCAGAGAAATGTTGGGCTTATGTTGCGTTACATTCACAGAAACTTTAACGGCAGCAATATCTATATGAGAGAGAGACAGAAAGCGTCTATGTAATTATGCATAGAAGAACGACAACTCTCTGCTCGTACAAAAACTCATTGTCGTATGAGAAGAAAAAAAGTACAACTTTACCAGTTTCAAACTGCATTTCTCACCTATTTTGATGTAGAGCTGAACGGTGGCGCTCGTGAAGTTGTCTTTTATCGTAGTTGCATTACATGAATAATTACCTCCGGCAATCATCGGTTGAAAGCTGATTTCACAGTTTGCACTCTTACGATCTTGCAAGCATGTCCCGTTAAGAAAAGTCCCGTTAGTCACAACCGAGCCGTTTCCACACGATTGATCTAATAGTTGACAGATCACAATAACATTATCGAAGTTTCCATCTGGCTTCACCAATGACATTTGTGACATCTGATCTTGTGGGTGATGTGCGGTTAACGTCAGGTTTTTCGCCACGTCGAGATCTACATTAATTATTAGAAGGTGTTTGAAGCCAAGCGGCGGTTGGTTTAAGTTTAACAATATTGTGTGGATGGATGTCCTTAGTTTTAGTGTGTGTATGACAATGTTTATGTGGCCTGCTGCGATTGACTTTTAAACTGCTCATCACTTATTATGATGTTGATTTAGCGGGAAGTGATGTTTGAGATTTCTGTAGCGGTGTTTTGTCAGGGGAAGGGAACGAAAATGTAGTTTAGTGAAAGTAACGAAATTCTCCCGGGTTGAAGGAAATAGCGTAGCGGTTTGTGACACTGCGCCACGGTTCAGATGAGATCGATATTTTGGACCGAGCGGAGCTGCTCTGCGGAGAGTTTATATTAAGTTAAGCTTACGTTGGATGTCAGTTGTTGACAGTTCGGTAGTATAAATCGGTATTGGTGGTGCAGTGTGAGTATTGTTGACATAGGTTAAGCTAATACTTGAATTTCTTAATGTAGAAGTTATACCATTGAGTAGAGTTTGTGATGCCTACATAACTAATAAAGTACGTTAGTGTCATTACAGCTTTTGAGATTAATTTGCATTCGCTTTCATCACATGATTTAGAGTCTTTGTATTTCTTTCTTGCCATCAGGTGCTTACCATAAATGCTTGGAATAAAATGGCTATCCAATGCAGAATATTGTGCATGTCTTCGGACGTTTCGATTTGTTTATAAGAAAAACCACTCGAAAGTTGTCCGTGCACTCTCAGTTAACATTACTTTGTATATTTGAATTCAGCATTTTCGAACCGCACAGTATGTCTGCTGAAGGATAGAGAATATTGCAGATTTGCAAATTGTTAGTAAACAGTTTTATTTGGTGTCTGCTTTCACTAATATGGTTCTCTTTCTTCTGTTTGAGAAAGACAAAGTTTCAAAAATAACGGAAGAGGAAAGGTACATTAAAACGATTTTGTTTCATCTTATTTGCTTCTTGTGTTTGTTGTTGTTGTTTTTATGTTGGAACAGAGCATTATTATGTATTGAAGAGCAAGCAAAAATGTCAGAACTAAACAGATTTTGACTGTGTTTTGATACGACAAAGTATATCACGCATCGTCTGTAAAAGAAAGGAAAAAACACGAACTTCTTCTATTGCTGTCAAAAGCTGTTTTATTTGCATGTGATTTATTGCTCTGAATATAAAGACCAAAATCACTATACGCACTTAGACTCACTGGACTTTCGAAATAGAATATATATAAAGACCGGAAAAAGAAATGAAAAATATTGGGATCCTTTGAAAAGAATAAAACTCAACTTATCCGCAGATGTCATGTTTCTGAAAATAAATGATTATAATAAACAAATGAAAGCATGATTAAAATTATGCAATAAATTGTAAGCCTGGAAGGATAAGAGAATGATTTACATCGCTACATGATAGAAGAGACAACGCAAGCATGGATATTGTATGAGAATCATCCTATGCAACTCAGTCGTCACTTCACTGGTCTATGTACCTGGATCTCTCAATGCAACTACATAACATGGGCTATGAATTGAGATTCGGATCAAGTTGAACTTGGTACATTCAGTTGTATTGGGCTCTACATCGAGCAATGCAACCAGCTAACTCATTGCAAAAGATATATTTAACTTTGTCCTTTTTCAGTCTTTGGATATAAAGCGAAACTGTTCATGAAATGTCTACTTAAGAAATATATCTACTTATACAAAATCAATGTAGAAAGGTTGAAACAAACACTTTTAAACATTATTAGGCTGATCAAACCGAAGTCAAAATACCAGAAATAAATAAATAATCGAATTTATTTTATTCATTATAAATAAACGAACAACCGTTTTCGCTTCGTTCGATTACAAAATCTTGTTTTCTGTAGTCGTAGAGATAGTGAAATGCCATCACATTTAATGTGATTAACTAAATTTTATGCTGAACCTTTAAGTAAAAGTAATACACTTATCAAAATCCTGTCTTGAGTGGATATTGACCAATCATGACTTCTCATTATTGAAAAAGCATTAAGCTTTAAAGACAAAACTGTTTTCGATTCTATTTGTACCAAATGTAGCTGACGAGGCATCCTATGGGGCACGTATCCTACGGAAATGCCGAACCCCAATTTAGTTCGTTCATACATCAATCGATAGAGAGTAGCAAGGTTGTTAAAAGCTACAAAGGATTTGATACACCGGATTTTACACCGGATTTGTAGCTTTTCCTTCAGGAGTTATGGCGGTTTTTCTAGATTTCCAAGTGAAAAACAGAGAAAATAGAAAAGTTCATATCTTCGTCCAGAAAAGTAGACAGGAGCTCGACTTTCTTTCTATGACTCTTTTATATGTCTGTGATATTCAGACAAAGTTCCAGCTTTACAACTCATTCCATTACCGAGTTATCGAATTTTAAGTTTTCATAGATTAGCCCTTTCAGAGACTGACAATATCATGGCTTCCAAAATCGGTAGTCTTCTACTAGAACTATTGAAACTTTCGAAAATGGCACGGTTTTGATCGGCACAGAAAACTAATCGAAATTATATAACTTCAATGTTTTGTAACTCCGCTTTTCAAGGATGTCTCCAAAGCTCTCAGCATCTACAATCAGCTTGAGAAATCGTTTTTGTTTTCACAAGCGAAATTAGACTACAAAACCATGTTATGAAATTTTCAACAGTTCTAAGTTCAAAACTAACGATTTTGAAAGCCATTTTATTGTGAACCTATCAAAAGGCTAATCTATGGAAAACTTAAAATTCAATAACTCGGGAATGGAATGAGTTGTACAGCTGAAACTTTGTATGAATACCACTGACATATAGAAGAGTCATAGAAAGAAAGTCGAGCTTCTGTCTACTTTTCTCTATGAGAAGCAGAAAACTATGAACATTTGATTTTACTGCTTTCGAGTGGTTACAGCTGTTTCATCCATACAGGAACTTCACTTAGAAGCTGACATTACAGAGCACCATTCAAATCATTGCCGCTTTTCTCTGACACTATAAAAGCATATAAAGAAATGAACGAATATTTAGAAAGCTCTCTCAATTCTCTAAAATTGGTCTATTCACAATATCTTCACTGCTCCAAAAAAGCATAGGATCTTTTGTCGTTTTGAAGTAGTTGCACGTTATAGCACTAGTGTTATGGTGGTACTCAAAATAAACGTAAAAATACAATTTTGTTCCTTACAGGCATGTTTAGAGACCAGCTGATATATTGAAAAGAACGTATGATAAGAATGGGATAGTGTGATGTAGCACAGTTTGATCACAAGGATTTGACAGTAAGGAAAAAAGTGAAACATACAGTGGCTTCCAAAATTATTCATCCATCTTTCTTTTTCGTTCTTTTCATCGACCATGGTAGCTGAAACAAATTTCAAAAAAGATTTGTATAGCTGAATGAATTTCCAATCTGACGATGTATATATAAATATCCCATCAAAACTCCTGAAAGCAGGAGCACTGGAAAAACCCAATCTTAGAAAACCAGAGCCCGAGGTCAATCTAGAAATTCTTCGCGAATAACTCTGTCATATAGAGCAAATATTTCTGAACCAAACGAGACATCTTGGGGTTCTCCACAATACGTTTTCATGAAACAGCATTCAATAGACGCATTTTCCTCTAGTCATTCACGGTACGTTGAATTTAACGACGTTTGCAAACCAGTGAAGATATTGTGAAGACCAATTTTAGAGAATTGAGAGAGCTTTCTAATTATACGTTCATTTCTTTATTTACTTTTATAGTGTCAGAGAAAAGCACATGACACTGATTTGAATGGTGCTCTGTAATGTCAGCTTCCAAGTGAAGTTCCTGTGTGGATGAAACAGCAAACTCAAAGCACCTAAAATCAAATGTTCATAGTTTTCTGCTTCTCACAGAGTCATTCTGAGCGAAAAACAGTGAGCCGATTTTTCAGCTTGTACGCACCCACCCTTTAATCTTCTCAAACAGTTTTATTTTTCCCATGT